GTGGCTCTGGGCCGTGTGCCTGTTTCTTTGCCAGAGAGACAACATGTTCCCATCTGTCAACTACCTTCGAAGGCAGCTGGAGAGGCAGACTGTGCTCCTGGCTGCTGTTCCAAGTACCCAGCCTTTAACCAAGAGACTATGTGCCTGGAGCTCATTTTCAGGGGCCAGGGACACGGCAGAGAACAGGAGAGACAGAGTTCTTCCTGCCTCCCAGGAACCCAGGGTGTGGCATCCACAGAACACAAGGCTGGCTTTGGAGTCTCTGGTCTGATCCAGATGCCTGTTCTCCCTAGGGATCTGACCAATCATTTTACCTCTCTCCTGCTCAGGTTCCACATCTAGAAACAAGCACAGGGATGAAGATGCCGTCAGTGGTCCCGCAATACTCCCTTACTGCTGCTTAAGATCTGTACCCTACATCTCTCCTCAGGGCCCAGAGCCAACTGCCCAGGGCCACCCGCTGGTGACAGCTGGCAGGGGTGGTGTCCGGCTGCCTCCTGTTCTGGGAGACTAGGTTATCGGAACCAGGGAAGCACGGCTCTGAGTCAGCAGAGTAGGGAACCGGAAGCTGTGAAGATGGAGCTGGAAGGAAGGGCCCGTGCAGAGGAGCGGGGCAGGATGCTGGTCTGAGCAGTGTGCGGCCAATCTGAGAGGCTATCTCCAGTTGCTTTCTCCAGTCCTGCTGGAACAGAGTGGGGGTGGGGATGGGGCGGGAAAGAGGTCAGATGCCCTCTTCTCTAGTTCTTTATTTCCAGCCAACTGGAGCTGATTCATCCACCACTGTGGGAGCCACCTGGCTTCCATGAGTTTGTCACACTGTGTCCTAATTTTCTGTGTTCGTGGGTGCCCAGCTGTAGTTGAGCTGAGCTGGAGGGTGGGGCTTGGATTTGTCAGTCCCAAGGCAGCACACAGAAGCTCAGCAGACAAAATCTGATGGTGCCCTAGCCCCAGAGCCGGTCTTCTTTTCAACTGTATCTACACATGGGGGTTTCATGTGGCCCAGAGGGTTTCCTGCAAAGTGGTGGGTTTTGCCTCAACTGACACAGCCATGGCCCACCAGGCTCCATCCACTGGGCACCCCCACTTCTGTCCTGGCTCCCTGAAGGTGGCCTCAACCTGCTGGTTGCACACACCCCGCCTGCTTCTTCCCCCTGCTCCCTGTCTCCACCTAGACCCTCACCGTTCAAACACCTATTCCACATATTTCCCATCAGCCCCTTCTGCTCTTCCTCAAAAAATCTCAAGCCAGGTTCCTCTTGATCACTTCATGCCCATATCACAGAGACCATCTCCTAGCTAGGACCCAGCTCCAAGCACTCTGTGTAAGCACCCAGACTATATCTAAAGGTGTCTCTCCTCAAGAACCTGCCACAGCTTCCTGCCGCCTCTCACAATGTAGCTCACCCTACTCTACCTTCAACAGTGATTACTGAGAACCTGCTTGTCAGCTGCACCCTGGGAAACAAGGATAAATAAAACAGGCACAGTCTCTGCCCTTGCGGACCTACTCTAGGTAGTTAGGGAAGACAGGCTATCAATCAAATAACCCCACAAAGAGAAAACTACAAAAGGCTAAGTGGAAAAGGTGTCCATCCCTGCCTGCGGTAACAGAGAAGCTGAGCTGGTTTGTCAGGAAAGGCTTCTCAGAGGAAGTAATGCCCCGGCTGAGATATGAAGAGGTACAGAGGATGAAGGATTTGGAAAGAGCGTTCCAGAGAGAGGGAACAGCAGATGCAAAGGCCCTGAGGCAAGATAATGTATTGCCTGTGTAGATGACACAAAGAAGAGCCAAGGGGCCACTGGGCAGAGGGAATGGGGAGTGCAGGCCTGGGAGGCATGGGGAGCAGGTTTGCTGTCAGCTGCCTGGAACAGCGCCTAATCTAGCCTGGCTTC